GCCTCCAGAGGAACTTTCCCAGGTGCTCCTGAAGTGGAGGAGGGGAGTGTGTGTCTCAGAGGCAAGCCACACACTCCTGAAGCAGCCCCGCAGGGCAAGCCCAGCCCAAGCTGCTTCAGCGCATCTCTGGAAGCAGCCAGCCCACGTGCCACGTGAGCTCAGGGGATATTTCTGATCTAAGGGGCTCCAGGGGTGTCTGGGGGGCCCTCCTTCTTTGTGTCTTTGCTCTGGTCCTGGACAAAGAACCAACAGGTGGCTACACACAAAGATGTCCCCAGCTCCCAGGGCCATGAAATCTCCATCTAAGTGCCCTGGGAAGAGAAACTCAAAACCTATCTTACCGGCGGGCCTCCGGGTCCAGGGGGGGCCTGGGAGGCCAGGTGGTCCTGGGGGGCCCTGTAAAGAAAGAGCATGGCCTGGGTTACGGACGTGCGGGCAGCAGCCCCCTGGTGGTGCTGTGCTTGGAGGGAGGAGAGGGTCCAGGACACGGTGATGGGGTGGACCTGCAGCTTTATTTGAAATACCTTATTTTTTAAACAAAAAGGAACAAAAGCAAAAAGAAAAGATCTGAAGTAAAATTTGCAAAATGCCAACATGTGTACTGTCTGGGTGATGGGTATACATCTGTCTGTTACACTATCTACTCTGGTATCTATCTAGTGTATTTGAACATTTAAAATAAACATGTATTGCATGAATAAACACACACATCCATAGTGGGTTGACTCATTAACCAAAACCTTCTACAACAGTGGTTCCCAAGCACCGTTCAGCATCGAATCACCTGGGCTGAGTAACACAGATCTGTCCAAGTCTGTCCATCACCGCCCATGCAAGTTCTCGGAGACAGACCTCCGGCCTTTGTTCATGTGTCTCTCCAGCTGTGCCTCCCTCCCCTGCCCCTCCTCGGATGGACAACTCCACCTTTCCGGAATTCCTGCAATTTCCCAGGCACAATTAAGCACTCCCTCTGCCAGGCTCGAGGCCAGCGTGACTGAGCTCGTCTGACCCACATGCCCCCGAAGGCCCTCTTGTTCCCGCTGCATCTTGTCCTGCACAGCGACAAGCCCCGGTCTTGACAAAGAGCAGGTGCTCTATAAAGATCTGAAGAAGTCAACGGGGCTGAACACGGCTGAGCGTCCAGAGTGAACAACGCCGCGTCGCCACTAGAGGGCAATAAATACTAAACAATGGCCAAGGCTGCCGCTCCCCTGCTCTGTTCCCCTTTCTCCCTCTGGGGGCACTCGTGGTCAACAAAGGGCGGAGAAAGGCCGCATCTACAAAACTTTCTGGTGGCATCTGGACCTAGTTTTCTGTGTAGCTCTCTCAGTGCCGGCGAGTCCTTGGGGGTAGCACCTACATTTACTGGGAGAATGAGGCACAGATCGGGGCGGGGGGGAACACTGGACGAATGGGCCTCCCCTGACTCCATTTCCAGTTCTTCCTGCTGGAAACCAACCCACCTCAGCAACCTGGTCTCCAAACTCTGCACAGTGCACGCCATGCTTTCAGAGCCTCTTCCCGGACTGAAGGGTGAATTCTGGCCTCACCTGGGGCTCCGCTGATCTCCCCCACCCCACAAGCTCCCTGAGCGCGGGGACCACCACTGTCTGCACCTGCTGAATCCAGCAGTCAGCCCGGGCCCGGGCACGCAGGGTGCCCTCAGGATTTATCTGCTGAATCATAAAGTGCTGCTTCGAAGAAGAGTCCCTTCCTTCCTTAGGGAACGAAGGTCGGGGTGTGTGTGCTGGTCCTCACAGGGGCTCTGACTCGAGGCAGTCTCCTGTCTCTCTTTTTTAGCATTTGAATTAAAACCGATAAATTAGAAGGTTATTTTAAACTAAAACTATCTGACTACTGATAGCTTTACTAGCAGTAATAATGATGATGTGAAGAGATGCAGAGTAGGGCTTTGGTTTCAGATGTCCTGGGCCGAACGCGAGGCCGCCTAGAGCTACCAAGATGGAACTGGGTAACAGACTCCACCTCCGAGCATCTCTCAGTCCCCACAACGTCACAAAAAGGCTGCAGGCCCCTCTGGTATCGATGAAGCAGGGAGTAATGACGGTGTGAAACCAGCTCAGCACAGGGGGGCGTTCCACTTTCTCTTCTTTTTATCATCAGTAAAAATACCTAACTAACCAATTCATCTAACAATTAAAGAGAGACAAATTAGCCAACACATCTAAATGTTAACAACAAAATAACTTATGATTATTACTAATAAAACAACTAAGTAATGATTCTATTAATTAGCCAATTCATCTAATTATTATTCATAGAACATTTGATCCTTCTTAATATGGTGGTGACTAAACAGCTCTTTAATGTGCTCGGTAATTACCATGATGATGTGTAAATAACCCATTAACCTAATTATCATTATTAATAAAGGAATGGCAAATATCTACTTCTAATGACCACCGAGTTCCAACTGGAACAGATTTATGAAGTCGGAGGGAATTTGAAGATGCGTGAAGATTACTTGCATAAATTAGCATGGCAGTCACATTCCCTGTGCCACATGGAAACGTTTGCTTTTTTGGGAAGTTGTTTTTAATTGTGAGTCCTGTTGGGGTGTGGCTCCAGGGCCGCAGCCATAATGGCAGTCCGCCTCAGGGGGGTCTCTGTGTTGGGGCCCAGAACCACGAACCCACTCCGTCCCCTGGGGCTGGTCCCTCCCCTGGCTGTGTCCTCACCAAATCAAGGGACTTGGGGCCACCCTGCCTGCACCACCGAGCACTGTTGCAGCACAGACACTTGACCAGACCAGACAGATTTCCATTTTCCCTAACAGGCTGCCAAGATACAGGAGCCACCACCTCGTGTGTGTATATTGATGCCACAACATTCCAGCAGGTGAAAATGTGCATCTTGAAAAAGAGGCACCGGAAGCATCTTATAGACTGCCAGCCGTCCTTTAGATTCCGGTTGGGATAAGCATTCCTTTCTCACAGGTGGTTATAAAGAACAGACGCAATCATGTATGAACACTGAGAAGAGCAGAAACTAAACACACGTATCGAGTCCCCTTCAAAACTACGTAACTTCGTTTCTGCTGCAACAGAGTCAACCTTGATTCTCCAGATCCGCGTAGGGACCCTCCTCTGGGCCCTGGGAGAGGCGGACAAGCTCTCTCCCAGAACCAGAGCTCTGACTACCTCTGTCCCAGCACTTAGCTTGGACGATGGTCAGTTTCTTTCTGCATCTTTCTGCTCTGTTCCATCTGGCTCCTCTGCACATGGACAGTGGCTGCTAGGACTTCCCATCCCCAGAGTGGAATCTGCACACAGTGGGTACTTAGTAAATACCTGTGGTCAAGGAACAAGTGAACCAATGTGGATGGCAAGCAGGAGAAACCGTGGCCAGGCCCAGGGAAGGTGGTGCGCAGGTGTGTCAGGAAGAGTGGCCCAGAGAGATGAGCAGCGATCCATGTGCAAACACTGCTCTCAGCCTGGGCCTGGCTAGCTTGGATGCAGCTCTGCATCCACTGGCGGTCTTCCAACGCAGGGTGCAGGGGGTGTGCATTATTCACTGCACACTGTCTGGTTCTGAACCACTGAGATCCCTGAATATATCAGGGTGCCCTATTTCTGGTAAGATCCCTGCTGTGAGAAAGCTGGCTGTGTTTCTATCTGCAGTGTCCAGCTCGACGCCTGGCATTCAGTAAAGATTTGCTGAAGGGAAATGGCTTCTAAACGAAAAATGAAAGAAAAAAATATATTTTCCAAGGGAGCAAACAAAGAGCTATAGGTGGAAAAAACATCTGTTACTTCAAGCAATTTGATGGGGGCTGCATTTAGAGTGAGTTTTTGAGATCCACAAGCTTTGCTCACCGGAAAGCAGGCCATAAAACAAATGCAAACACACTCTAATTTTCACTATTAACATCAAAATGCCACAGTGCACGTGGAAACTTTAGTAGAAGACCGATAACGGCTTATTCTGTGCTATGGCCTGACGGGAACACGAAGGGCTGAAATGAAATCTGAGACGAGAGTTGGGTGGGGCGCCCATCACTCAGGGACCACTTCATCAGCCAGCGCAGAAAAGGCTGGTCTGGGGAGTTCAGTTAGCAGTGTCCTCCGGGCGAGTGCCTCCCTGACGCCGCAGGAGGACAGCATGGCTACCACCACGGGGGCGCTGGTGTTGGGTGGAGGTGTCCAGGAACAGGTGGTGCCGAAGCTCAGCCTCTCCTGCAGCGCAGGGAGGGGCCAGTGGCTGAGCCCTAAGGAGCCCACCCACCTGCCTGCTGTGGCCACAACCAGGAGAGCAGGACGGCCTCGCCGCCTGGTGCTCACTGCGCCTTGGGGCCCCGTCACTGGGTCACATCCCCAACTTCTCTCTGACCTACAGTAGCGCACAGTAGCGCCCTCCCCTTTTATTTTTCTTGGTATTTGTTGCAAATGATGAAACTAAAGTTCAGAAGGTTAAGTAATCTGTCCCAGAAGCTCAGCCAGAAAGCGATGAGGGCTGAGACTCAGCGGGTCTCTGCCTAGAAACTGGGCTCCCTCCCTACCCTGGGACTGTCTCCTGGAATTCACTGAGCCTCATCAAAGGCAGGCTGGGGAGGGAGGGGTGGGGAACTCCGTCCACACCAGGGTTGGGGCGCACAGGGACGCAGCATTTACAAGTAAGGGGACTGAGAGGGGCCAGGGCCAAGGTCGCCTGGGGATGGAGGGAAGTGTCTGCTTAGCAGCTGGTGGTGGTGGCCCTGAGCAAGTCTCTCTGCATCTGGGGGTCTCACCCCCTCATCTGTGCAATGGGGACAGGGACCTGAGTCTGCCCATCTGGCGGGCTGGCTGTGGGGTCCACAGGGGACCACAGTGACAACCCACGTGGAACCATGTGGGAGGAGGAGCTGGACAAATTGCGAGGCCAGAGGAATTTCACTAGAGCTGAGCCTGAAAGGTGGGTGAGGATGGGAGGAGGAGGGGGAAGGGGAGGAGTGGTGGAGGGGGGAGTGGGAGGGGGTGGAGGAGGGAGGGCATCTTGGTGTGAGGCAGCACCTGCCTCGGGACAGACCGTGACTGGGCTCCAGCCCCACGTCACAGATTGGAAACCAAGTCTGAGAGAAGGGAAGGGACGCGAGCAATGTCACAGAGTGTCTGTGAGAAGTCAGACTGAGACCAGAGCTTGGTCTCTCGATCCTAGACTAGTGACTGCCATTTTGATTGTTCTGGCCCCTTGGCTGAGCCCCTCCCAATCTGAATTCATTGTCCAGCCACCTGCCGACACCCCTTAGGGCTGTGCGCTCCGGCCACGTCGCAGGCCCATCCTCCCCTGTACCCTGCTGGGAAGGCCCCTCCTGCCGCCCCTGCCCAGCTGGGTGCACACAGTCTGACCGTGGGCTCCAGGTGCCGCGTGTCTCCCTCCTGGTGTCTCCACTGTTTCCCTTTCTTGTAACACTGGGCATCGCTTTTGTCACCGCTTGTCTGGGTCTGGCCTCCTCTAGACCTAAACCCCTACAGGAGACCAAACAGTGGCCGCTGTGCCAGCGCCTGAGCTGGGAGGCAGGGGGAGCAAGGGACAAGGGAGGACAAACGACCCACCGGATATTCTTTTTAATGCTCTGATGAGGTGGCCGTGCAAGAATCTGGTTACCAACCTGAGAACTGCTACTGAGCCTTCATTTAATCAGAGAAAGCAGCGTTGCTATGGAAGGGGATTTAAAGACAGTGGTTACCTGCGGCCCCAGCAGTCCAGGGGTTCCAGGAGGGCCCGTCTCACCTTTCTTCCCCTGAGGGCAAAAGAAGAAGCCAAAATTAACGGCCAAGACCAGCAGCGCCCAGCACCCGGCTAAGAGTACACCTCAGCGGAAACTCCGATTATCAGGCCATCCCCTCGGGGTGCCCTGCAGGGAAGCAGTGCGGGATCAGGGAAGAAGTCTGGGGTCACGGAGGTGCCCCCTGGATCCCAATTCTGTAACTTGGGTGATTTTGGTAACACGTGGCCCCAAATTCAAAAAGTTCAGCAAATTTTACCCGAGAAAAAGGTCCTTATCCTGTCCCCTGCCACTCAGTCCCTTTCCCTGGAGGCAACCAATCCCACCAGATGGTTGGCTTTTCCAGCACTTTATGTTTAGGCAAGCTTTGCACACACGTATGCACACGTGTACACATATGTACACGTGTGCACACACGTTCTCTCCCTCTCCCCCTTTGCTCCTTTACGACCTGTAGCAAGTCAAACAGTCTGCTGATGAACTTTGCCTTTTTCACGTGACAGCTTCTCTGGGATGCAGCCTGCACTCGCATGTGGACGGTCGCTCCACCCCTTTTCACAGCTACGCAGTCTTCCCCATAAAGATAAAATGTGATCATTTCAACAGCCCCTACTCAGGGACAGGTAGGTTCTTTGGGCCACTTGCCCTTTTGCTGTTAAGACTCAGGCTGCCGTGTGGGGTCCTCCCGTGGGGGTGACCCGCCTCACTAAGCCTCAGAGTCTGTCCCTGGGAGCGGGGGCGAGGGGTGTGTGGCTTAGTTTAATTCACACAGCACACGGCCTGTATTACAGGAGCATCTGAAGGACGGATGCCGGCCTGCTTGCTTTCTTCCTTACAGTGCCCTCATGAAGTCAAAGCACTGCAATCAGAATTCAAAGTAAAACAAGAATCTGAGTAAGAATCACATTCCCTGAGGACCCATCTTGTGCCAAACCCTCCTTTTGGGTTTTCCCGCTTGTTCCTCTCAACTTTCCTCTGCGAGACGCCCCTGTGAGGCAGGTGTTCTCAGTCCCACCAGAAGGTGTGGGAACTGAGGTTCAGGACAAGGTCTCGCAGGTGACATAGCTGGAACCCGAGAGGTCGGAGACTCCAGGTGACCGTGGACATGTTGGGCTCTGTGCTGACTCTGCAGGTGACCGGGAGCATGGAGCAAGGCTGGTCAAACCTGTGATCGGTGCTCACCATCACCCACGCCCCCGGGGGCCCCCTCCTGGACCCCTGCAGGGCCCCCAAACAGTCACCCTCCCTCACTTCCAGCCCATGCATATCACTTCCCCCTACAGTAGCTAGAATTACATTCTCAAAATATGCACCAGGTCATGTCTCCTCTGCTCAAACACCGCGATACCGCTCAGCTCACTAAAGCAAACACTAATGGTCCCCCTTCTTTCCAAGACCACCCCCCCAGGTCTTCTCAGTCCATGTACTCCCTTCCTCCCCCTCACTCCAGCCACGCATTCACACCTGCTCCACCCAGCGTCCAGAGCTGCACCCCGTGCCTCTCAAAGCTTTCCCCCTCCCTTTCTACAGCCAAACCATGGGAGCCCAGCCTGCTCACACGCCCAGTCCCTTCCCTCCAGACTGTCCTGGGCTAACCTGTGCTGGCAGGCTATTCCTCCATAAGCGTGAAGAAAGCTCTGTCCAAGTTATCTGCCACCTCCTTTTCCAAAAGACACAACATCTGAGCTGCTTTATTCAGAAACTGACAGACCACGCAATTCTGACACGCCTGTTTAGTCTGGTGCCCAGTGTCCATGCCACCATCCCTAGGCAACAGCTCACGTGGGCTGCTTAGCTTGGCCCCAAAGACCCCCAAGGGCTCCTGGCCTCTGAGACTTTGCCCACGCCACCACCTCTGTCTGTAGCATCCAGCTCCATCTCAACCTGTCAGAGTCCCATCCCAATCCAGTGCCACCTCTTTCATGAAGTCCCAGCAATAATGAGAAATAATGGTAGAATATGGCAAAAACGTATCTGAGATAGATTCCAGGTGTCACCGAAGAACTCATGAGTTAGTGACCAGGGATGGGGCATAAAGCTCTAAGTAAGTAGTTACGAGGACTTGGCCACTCGTGCGATCAAAGGAATTCTCTATGTTCTTTTCCCAACCCCTTTCCTCTACAATATTGTAGGAAAGAGTTCTAAATCTGCAGTAGATAAGGAGGGGCAAGCCATTTAAATTGCTGGGTCTTTGTTTTCTCATGTGGAAAATAATTCAATGTAATTATCTGAAAAGATAGTGGTACCAAAAATTCACTGTTTGAGGAAGTGACTTATAAAGCATACAGAGCATCGTGAAAATGTCATAGTTAGTGATGAGAATGAGAAGGAAGATGATGGAGGCTATGAAGAAGAAATGGTATAGCAGAATTCTGGCTCCTGAGTCCCTGGAATGGGTGAGAGACCACATGTGAAGTAGATGCGG